TCTAGATTAATTTTCTTTTCCTGACGGAATGTCAGCAATCACACACACACACACACACATACATGCACATAATCTCAGGCTATTCACTCAAGTTTCCCACCTCCTCTGTGGAAGAGTGAGCATTGTATATTAGCAGCTGAATCATTCCCTGTTTTCTTTGAAACACTTCCTCTGACTTTAACCAGAAGTTTTATGCCTGAACATGAATGTGTTAGGAAAAAAGCAACCGAGCTGAACATGTCAGACAGAACACACATCCTCAAAGTACAGGAAGTTTCCCATACCTACATTGAGGAGGGGAAGCTACTGCAGAGCCTTATTTTGTTGAAAGTCATCTTGTCTKGCTCACTGCTTGTTACTCTGCTTTCGGTTGTAGTTGTACACCTTCTTATAGTTTATAATTTGGACTATTTCAGTCCATTAACTTTTTAATGTGATTTTTCATTAATTTATGTTGAGCTGACACACAACATTTTTGGTTGGAGTTAAAGCTTGATTAAAAACCTGTAATAATGTTGTCTGATTTGCCATTTATGGCTTAGTTACATCTTGACAAGAACATGTTTCTGATCAGATAGGGCCATCCATGCRGGATTAATTTTGCAATTTAAGCCCCATCTCCACCGACGCGCTTGTGGTTCAGCTCGGTTCAGCCTTGACCGAATGTGTCTCCGTTAGGTTCCAACCGCACACAGCTGAGCTGTTTCAGAATTTTCTCTCTGGCGGTTCTAATGCCACTTTTCCACTAGTGCCACTTAGTGTAGTGTTGGTACAGTCAGTGTCGGAAAGGGTCAGTTCGGGTGCTTTTCCATTGACGATCCAGTACAGTTCCAGTGGGTGTGTTTTGGGCGGTTGGTGGAGGTGGTTTTTGGGTTTTTCGAAAAAAAGATAATGTGCAAAATGAGAGATGGAAAGATATTTGCCGATTAAGTTCTGAAATTTTAAAAATTTCCTAAAAATTTGAATAAAAATAGGATGGAAACACAATTAATGTCACTGCTACAATTGAAAAAATGGCTCCTTGAGTTGTTGTAAAGGCAGCTTAGTCTCAACCTTTGACTCCACCCCCTAGCCAATCAGTGACGAACAGTGTTCTGACATCGCATTTTGGTGTCAACTGGGACCGCTTAGAACCACAACGAAGTAGGTACTAAAAAAGGGCCGGTTCCATGACTCTGGCCTAATGGAAATGGCTTGGAACTGTACCAACACTACACTAAGTGGCACTAGTGAAAAGGGGGCATAAGTGGGTAGAAGCGAGTGCAGCACACTTACAATTTTGACGTTTGCAGAATGCTGCCCGTGGTTTAGCTCTGGGATTGATTGACAGAGGAAAGGCGGAGAGAGACGCTTTTGTTATGGAATACGAGCATGCGACGCAATAAAAATACACGGAGAAAACAGTGATAAAAGCATGGTCTAACCTTTTTGGCGATCTTGGGAA